GAACGTCTCGATCGGATACTACTGATACAGGCACTCCATGTCCTGCCACTACCTCGCGCACATAAATATCGGCTAGCTTCTCGGCCGATATGCTCTCCTGCATCGGTATGAAATTCGCGCTCTTGGTCAGCCGATCCACTATGACCCAAATCGAATCAACTCCACGTGCGGTCCTAGGAAGCTTAGTGATGAAATCCATAGTGATATCCTCCCATTTCCAAACGGGAATGTCTAGTGGCTGCATCTTGCCGTGGGGTCTCTGATGCTCCGCCTTGACCTTCTTGCAGGTCAGGCATCTCTCCACGTACCAAGCTACGTCCCGCTTCATGCAAGGCCACCAATAGTCGGGTCGAAAATCTCTGTACATCTTCGTCGCCCCTGGGTGAATGGAGAACCGAGACTTGTGGGCCTCATCCATCAGTACCTGTCGTACTCCTCCCCAGTACGGTACCCAAACTCTCCCATGAAGGGTCAACAATCCTCGACTGTTATATTCAAAGGAAGCTACTCGGCCCACAATCCTCTCACACTTCTGCCTCTCCTCCTTCAAGCCCTCAACCTGTGCCTCTCTGATCTGCTCCAACAATGGAGTAATCACTGTCATCCTCAGACATACATCCCTGATCGGGGCTGCTACCGCCTTGCGGCTCAGGGCGTCGGCCACTACGTTGGCCTTTACCACGTCCAACCATCGGCGCTGCCTCATGTTCAGATTCGGCTGATCCATGAGGTACTTCAAACTCTTGTGATCCGTGTAAATGATACAACGGACCCCATAGAGGTAATGTCTCCAAATCTTGAGGGCGAACACCACCGCCCCCAACTCTAAATCGTGCGTCAGATAGTTAGCCTCGTGAGGCTTCAACTGTCTAGAGGCATAAGCTATCACATGCCCTCGCTGCATCAACACTGCTCCCATACCTGTGATCGAAGCATCATAGTAAACTACAAAATCCTCTACTCCCTCTGGCAGGGTGAGAATCAGCGCCTCGCACAATCTCTGTCTGAGGGTCTCAAATGCTGCCTGCTGCTCAGGCCCCCAGTGAAACACCACCGACTTCTTGGTCAGTCGGGTGAGCGGAACTGCTATCTTGGAGAAATCCTGGATGAATCTCCTGTAGTATCCTGCCAGTCCTAGGAAACTCCGAATCTCAGTTGGAGACCTCGGGACCTCCCACTGCATCACGACCTCTATCTTGTCCGGATCTACTAGTATACCCTTCTGGTTGACGAGGTGTCCAAGGAATTGCACCTCGCGCAACCAGAAATCGCACTTGGAGAACTTCGCGAACAGTCTCTCCCTCCTTAGCGTCTCTAGCACCTCTCTCAGGTGCTCTTCATACTGCTCCTGAGTCTTGGAATAAATCAAGATGCCATCAATGAACACTATCACAGATCGATCCAGCATCAGTCTGCATACGCGGTTCATGAGATCCATGAACGCGGCTGGAGCGTTGGTGAGTCCGAACGTCATCACCACAAACTCATAATGACCATAGCGGGTCCTAAAAGCGGTCTTCTGCACATCCTCATCCCTGACCCGCATCAGGTGATATCCTGACCGTAGATCAATCTTAGAGAACCAAGATGCTCCCTGAAGCTGGTCAAACAAATCGTCTATCCTCGGGAGTGGGTAACGGTTCTTCACCGTTACCTTGTTCAGCTCCCGGTAATCTATGCACATACGGTGCGACCCATCCTTCTTCCTTACGAATAGGATCGGGGCTCCCCATGGTGAACTACTCGGCCTGTTGAAACCCTTGTCTAGCAGCTCCTGCAGGTGCGTAGATAACTCCTGCATCTCTGGAGGAGCCAACCGATACGATGCTTTGGCTATCGGAGCCGCACCCGGGACCAGGTCAATCCGAAACTCAACCTGTCTCTCCGGAGGTATTCCAGGCAAATCCTCTGGGAATACGTCCGGGTACTCTCATACTACTGGCACATCGTCAACTATCGCCTGACCCTTCTCCCGGGCATCTATGACATAGGCGACGTACCCTGCGCAACCCTGCTGAACGTAGCGCCTCACTCTCGCTGTTGAACACAGAATTGGTCCGCGCTGTGGCCTCTCGCCCTGAATCACTAACTCTCCCCCACTAGGAGTGCGAACCCTCACTAACTGCAGTTCACAATCAATCACTGCCCCATTGGGGCTCAGCCAATCCATACCCACTATAACCTTATTCCCTCGCAGGGGAATGGGAACCAAGTCCACTGAAAACTGCTCATCAAATAACTGCAGCGAACACGCCCTGTGTACTCTCGCGACCCTGACGGTCCTGTCATCAGCTATCTCAACCTCGAGTGGACAATCCACCTCCCCCGGAGCTCTACTAAACCTCTTGCTAAGCGCAAGTGAAACAAATGATCGGTTGGCCCCCGAATCAAACAATACTGTAGCTGAAATGTCGTTCACTATGAACGACCCTATACGAAAACATATAATCATGAGAAACAATCCATATCAAATAAGAGAAAAGAGGAAAATACATACCCGTCACCACATCAGGAGTCGCTCACGCCTCCTCTGCTGTCATCTGGAAAGCTCTACTCTTCGCCACTGGCGCCTCACCCCAGCCCTGACGGCCGTCTGTAATCCTCAAAGTAGCAGGGGCAAGTGCTGCCACCTTCCCTGCTGCTAAACTCGGGCACTGAAATTTTTATGTCCCCTCTGATTGCAATGGAAGCAAATCAGATTAACTGCTGTGGTGGTGGTGGTAGTAGCTGTACAATCTCTACTCATATGCCCGGTCCGGCCGCACTTATAGCAACCGGCACTACCCGCCTTGCACGCCCCATCGTGCAATCTCCCACACTTGCCACACCGACTGTGGCTCTGCTGTCCTCTAGATCTATGATCTGATACCTTGGGCTTTTTGCCCGAACTCCCTGTGCCAGATGCCGCCTCTGGCTTCCTCTTCTTCTCCATCTCTAAATCTATCTCTCTCTCTCTCACGAGCCCTCGCAATCATGTCATCCAACGTTTTACAGCTGGACCGGCTCACAAACTGGCGGATATCACTCCGCAACATCTCATGATAACGGGCCTTCTTCATCTCCTCATCAGTTGCGTACTGAGGAACAAGAAGAGCCCTCTCCCTGAACTTGGCGGTAATCTCCGCCACTGTCTCTGTAGTCTGGGTCAGATCCTGAAACTCCCTGGCTAACTGCTGCACCTCGATAACCGGTGCAAACTCGGCTCTGAACCTGGTAGTAAAATCAGCCCAAGTCATCGCATCAAGCGCTGCGTCATCCCCGATGACATGCCCGATCTCCTCCCACCAATCTCGTGCCCTGTCCTTCAGAAGACAGGATGCTAGTCTGACCTTGTCCCAATCGGGACATCTGCTGGTGCGGAACGCATTGGCGACATCCGCCAACCACCTGGTACTCGCCCAATGGTAGTCTGGAGCTCCATAAGCCCGGAACTCCCTGAAGGTGAGTGTGCGCGATCCCATCATGGCCGCCACCTCAGCACGGAAGGTGCTCAACCTCTCGTCCATCAGCTCTAAAATACCCTCCTTGATTGAACCAAAGATCACAGGAGTCTGCTCAAGTATGGTGCGAGTAACCTCTGAAGAGAGGAACTCCCTGGTCTGCTCATCTAGATGCTCGGCCCCCGAGCCTGATCCTGATCCCTTGCCGGCTCCTGAACTGCCGACTGCTGGCCTAGGGCGTAAAACCACGATTCTGAAAACACATCATGACAAACGTCAGAAACACTGATATATCTCGAGGGATCGCTACTACTACAAGTTTCCTGGTCTCATCTCAGCCTTCCTCGATTCAAGTACGGATCCTCTGCTTTCAGTAGTACGGGCCCATACTACCTTCCACATCTATCCGTACTTTCCTCAAGTACTGCCTCGACTCCACCAAGTCACTTCTACTACTACTGATCTCTGATACTCTCATCCTAGGCTTTCCCTAGGGAAATCTCTGACTCCACCCAATCCAGTCCTCGGCTGCTGAAGGCCTCCTTGTAATGCCAATTAGCCATCACTTGAATACCATCACATGTGATGAGGCTCAGATAATCCTTCGAGTAAAAGACTCGTCCCTACAACGGTTAGACTCAAACAAGAGCTGCGCAATAGGGCCAAATCCAGCACTCTGAGATTATTCAACCCTGATCACATGTGACGTGACGTATTCATCTAATGGCTAACTCCCATCACTCCGAGTCCTACAAAGCACGAAGCAAACAACATTCGGACACAGGAAATTACTCAAGCAAATATATCCTCATAACGAGAAACTGTACTAGCATACAATGCTAATTCATACTATCAGGCATAACCTAAACAGGCTATCCTACTGCTGTCTACTCAATACTAGCATGTAATTCTCAATAAGATGAAACACATATAACAGGCACATAAGGCATCCTCCTAGATCCTTAGTCCTATTCTAGCATGTTGTTCTACTGAAACTGGAACTGATAATTATAACATAAACTTGTATGGGTAATTTGGGAGTACTTACTTGAGCTCGGCTGATCGCATGCACCACACCCTTTTCCTTTTCTCACAATTCTTTTCTTTTTAAGTTTCTTTTTCAAAAATTCTTTCGAAAACATTCTTCTTTTGAAAATCTTTTACCATTTCCTTAGTTTGAGTCCAGTCATACCCGAAAGTGTTCCTGAATCCCTCAAACCAAGGCTCTGATACCAACTTGAAACATCCCAAAAATACAACCCAAAAATTTTCGTTTGAAAACTCTACTAAACCATAATATCAAATATTAAAAGATAAATCCATGGATCATGCGTATCAAAATGTCATAGTAAATTTATCAAATCAACTGATGTCAAAACATATCACAATATCCGAATAAAACTCCCAGGATAAACTGAAGCTGTGGTGTGTGCCATGCCATCATCCCGAGCTCTTCCCCTTACTAGCGGAAGTACCTGAAACCAAAAACTGAAACTGTAAGCACAAAGCTTAGTGAGCTCCCCCAAACTACCACATACCATACAATAACATATAAAGCAACTATTGGGCCTTGCCCACTGCATCGGACCGAAGTCCGGAACTAACGAGAGCCTTGCCCTCTGCATCGGACCGAAGTCTGGAAACTGCATCGGACTGAAGTCCGAAACTAACCAGGGCCTTGCCCTCTGCATCGGACCGAAGTCCGGAAACTGCATCGGACCGAAGTCTGGAACTAAACAGGGCCTTGCCCTCTGCATCGGACCGAAGTCCGGAAACTACATCGGACCGAAGTCCGGAACTAAACAGGGCCTTGCCCTCTGCATCGGACCGAAGTCCGGAACTGACTGAACATAGCATAGCATAATCATAACTACTAGCATAAACACATATACTGCATACTGCATCAGACCGAAGTCCGGAACACATAACACAAAGACATACTTGAATCACAAAGACATCAAGCACACTGAACTACTGCATCAGACCGAAGTCCGAAACTATTGCTAACTAAACGGGTCGGCATTGTGGCCGTAGACCCGTTCCTACTTGAAGAAAACTCACCTCGTAACGCTGGCTGCTGAGGTGCTAAATCTGAGACTGTCTGACTGCTGCTCCGGAACTCCCCGGCTACAAATCCCATAAACACTAAATCAAATACTGATAACTAATCTCAGGGTAAAATGACTATTTTATCCCTGGTCAAAGTCAACTTCCTGGTCAAAGTCAACTTCCTGGTTGACTCTACTCGCCGAGTCCTACTATGAACTCGCCGAGTTCCAAGACTCACACTTCTCTAACTCGTGACTCGACTCGCCGAGTCGGGACGTGGACTCGCCGAGTCCCTCTACTTCCAGATCCTTGTTCTAACTCACTGAGTCCTCATCCACTCGCTAATTCAACTCACAATTCCAAAATCGGAGAAATTGGGAAGATTTGCGCTCCGACTCGCCGAGTCCAAGAACAACTCGTCGAGTCCTATGCATGTCCTCACTAAACAGTTGATTATAATCGATTTCAGTGCATCCAATTTATAGATCTGAGCTTCTAGGGCCGATATAACACGTAAAGTTGCCAACTTTACGTGCATGCATAGAGGTATGAAGCTAAAACACCAAAATAAGCTAGAAATGGGAACCTAGGGTTTGGAACAAGACCTTGCTTTGCATAAAGGTAGCTACTTTGAGCTCCTGGGGCTCAATGATGTCTAGATCTATAGCTCACTACCCTAAGGGAGCTCCAATCTCGAGTTTGGACCTTGAAATGTCCCAAAAGTGGCAAAACAAGCATATATGAAGATCTACTAGGAAAATGAACAAGGTAGAGGCTTTATTACCAGATGAAGTAGCAAATGGAAGCTAGCTTCTGGATCTCCTTCTTCTCCTTTGCACCTTCTCTCTTTCCTTCACTTCTACCCTTCCAAGAATACACCAAAACACTCAAAATCAAGAAGGAATCACTCAAGCTCACCAATGGAGGCTAGGGTTTTGAGGGGGAACGCTTTAAGGGTGCTGGAGGCTGGGATGGGGGCTATAAGGATGTTTAAATAGGGTACAAACCCTAAGGATTAGGGTTTCCTCCAGACTGGCCTACTCGTCGACTCCAGGCGCGGACTCGCCAAGTAGATCACTTAAAACCCGCGCCCAACCTGGCATCTACTCGACGAGTTAGGGCTATTACTCGCCGAGTAGCTCTTTATAAAAGAAATTTAATAAATTAAATACGTACCAGGAACGGGGAGTTACAACTATAAGCCAAAGCTTAGTGAGTTTCTCAAAGTACCTCATACAACAATATGTTGGATTAAGTTTCTAAGGTCCTAATTAAATTGGCATAATGTTAATGAATAAAAATAAAGTTCTTTTTGGGTTGCCCTCATAACCAGGAAATAGCTTGGATTCATCAAAGGAGAGAGATAAATGATTTGTTAATTTATTATGTGATTAAAAAATTAATTAGAAATAGTTAATAACTAATATTAGTTAACTAAATATAGTCAGAATTGATTAATTATTAATCTGAATTAATTTGGAATATTCGAGATTATAAGGGAATGATTTGAATTAGATTAAATATATTATTTTAATCATTCAAATATTTCTTTGTTTGCAAGTTACATAGACTATAAATATGACCCGTGGGTTACCTAATTTCGTGTCTCTCTCTACCTAAAGGGTGGAGAACGAAATTCTCATCCTCTCTCCCATGTCTCCTCTCAATCCTAGGGTTTCTTGAGTTTTGGTTGTGAACCATTAGAGGCTGACATGCTTTTGGAGCTAGTATTCCAAGGAGACAACAAAAGTTTTGATTATCTTGATTGGAGCCAACAAAAGTTATGTTTCTTTAACTATGAATTCGATTCATAGGGTTTTAGCTTTGTATTTTCATAACTATGTTGCTATTAGATGTGAAAAAGACAGATCTAATTTAGGTTGCATGTACCCTTAAGTATTAAGTGAAATTTCGCAAGTACATTGTTATTGTAACCTAGAAAACCTATCAGTGATATCAAGCCTTGATTTTCACATTAATGGTACATAATAGATGAAATCGAAACAAACAAAAAAAATTCGACAAAATTGTCTGTCACGTCGTGACCAGTCCTCTGTCACGACGTGAAGTCTGTCTGGAGTGCGATATATGGATTTCTTTTCTTAATTCAAAAGATATGATAATTACTAGTTAATCCATGTTATTTTAAAAGTATAAATTTTGAATATATCATAATAAGATTTAATAAAACTAATTAAAAGTCTAATTAATAGGTAATTCTTAAATCCTATTTAGTTCAAATATTAATCATTAAATGTTAAATTGAATTAATACGATTTGAACCTTGTAATTTAAAAAGTTTTTTTAAAAAAAATACACCCTATACATATGTATAAATGTCTATTACTATAAGTATCATTAAAAGTCAATCGAATCTCTAGTACGCCTCATTCACAAAGTCATACTATAAGAGAGGTAAAAGAAAACAACCTATAAAATGACCATTGAATGGGTGTCCTTTTCACCACCGTTTCTTTGTATGGTGGAGGGTCGTTAGCCGAATGTATTTGATAGGACATAATCACATTAAAAGTAAAACATATAAAGTACGAGAACCTTTTTAAATCCCACTCTACTTACTTTAGGAAATATATTGTATGATAATCCATGAAAACTCGTATTATTTCTTTTTGAATTATTAGTGGAGTGTGTGTGGGTAACCGGTACACTAATGTGTGACTAAAAACTTGAAATGATGGTACACTCTCGAAATTTAAGATTGTTGACGGAGCGTGTGTGGTTAATTGACACATCAATGTGAGATCGTAAACAACATTGAGGATGTCACGCGAGTTTGCATGATTATTCATATCTATTTTTTTGATCCTCGGCATCCCAGTCACAAATCGAAGAGCATATTCCGATATTAACATGCCATTGATTGTTCAATAATCTCAAAAGATCTAGGAGTTTCATTTTGATTAAAATTGGTAAAATGTTGAACTTACCTAAAATAGTTTTGTGATATGACTACGACATCCCTCTTCATGTTACGAATCGTATTTATGGATCCTAACCTTAATTTAGAATTGGGTTAATAAGTAAGGAATAAATCGACTTAATTAAACTTTCTCCTTTAGGTTAAATGGAATCCTCTCACACCTCCTCATGCACCTTCTAATTATAGCTCCTATTTGTTCTCCCTCGAGAATAGCTTATTTGTTATTGGATCATCCTTATTTTTTATAAGTTCTTGTTCCCATACAATGAAGATCTGTCAAATAAGGTCTATTGCATCATTATGTTTATGTCATCGATGTTCCAAAAGGATTTTATGAACATATGAAGATATGAAATGATATTGCATTTGAGTGAAATGTTTCATCAAAAGGCAAGACAAAAGTGATTTGAAAATCATCAAAAGTTCCTAATTGCATTCAAATTGAGTAAAAGAGTTTTATATGTAATCAATTAGAGCTACATAGACAAACTCGAGAATCGCAATGTTGACCTTGACAAGAGTCTTGCTATAGATCTTGTGCTTGGATCTTTAATTAGTTCCTATGATAATTTCGACTTGATTTATCATATGAATAGTATGGAAGAAAACATTGTAGAGATTATTAAACCTTCTCTAAACTGAGAAAACTAGAAAGGAATTAGATTTCTTATCCAATTCCAGTTATCAATTTTGAATGTTGGTGGAATGAATAAGAAACATTCGAATCCTAAATGGAAAGGAACGTTTTTGGCCAGAACTTCCCATTATGAAGGAATAAAATTGACATGTCCTCTATTCCATGCAACCAAAATTCAAAAGTGGATAGGTGCAATTAATGCAATGACAAGGATCATAGGAAACAAAGTTTCCCTAAGTACTTTGAGATGGTAAAGTAAAATGTTTGACTCTACATCAAGTAAATGTATAATCAAACTCAAAATACATCCAATTCACAGTTCCTTGATTCATGATGTGGTAATCACATTTAGATGACATTTATGGGAAAGAAGGACGTTACGCATAAAGAGATAAACCCAATAATTGGAATGGATGACTGTCACATGTCTCGATGATTGAGGATTTCGTGCTTGTTCTTTGTAATGGAGTTAGCTTTAAACTAGTCATTTGCTATTACTCTTCAGAGATATCTAGAAACCAAATTTCATGCTATGCATTGCATAAACATGAATTTTGGTTTTCATATGATAATGGAAGGTGACAATCCTAGTTTATAAGGATGATGGTTTTTATGTCTAAAACATCTTCTAGCAATTGGCATTCATAGAATAGTAGTTTGTCTTTCTAATAATAGTAGTGATGACTTGAACATTGATTCGTCTAATAGTTTAGATATGATTGTCCTTGTGGCATGTTCACCTTGGCTACATAAGTAATAATCAAATCACCGAGCTTCAATTGGATCGGACTTGGAATGATTCAACTTTGAGTTGGATGATATATGTGAGTCTTTTATGTTGGCAAGATGACTTGGTTACCATTCACATGGACATGTAATGGAGACAAATGATTGTTAGATATTGTACACACTAATGTGTGTTGACCCATCAGATCCACCACAAGGGGACAACATATACTATTGTGTCATATTTATTAAAAGGTTTAGTAGACGTGGTTATGTTTGTATGATTAAGCATAATTTTGACACTTTGAAAAGTTTCAAAGAGTATCAGTACAAAGTAGGGAATCAATTGGGCATGAAGATAAAGGTTCTTCAACATGAAATGAAAGGTGAATGCCTGAGAATCGATGTCTACGATCATCATAGAGATTGTGGAATGGTTTTCATAATTGACTTCTCCAAGGACACCATAATGTAATGATGTTACTAAAAGGATACTCGAATATTATATGGTTTGATCTATGATGAATCATGTTTCTCTACCATTCACAAATTTTTGGGAATATACACTTGAAATAGTAGAGCATATTTTGAACCTTGTATATAACTAAGTAGGTTTGAAAACACCTCATGAAATTTAGAGTTGGAAAGTTCCCTCACATTTATATCTAGTGTTGTGATGTCTTTTGTTAGATAAGAAACCAATGACCAACTTGAATCGATATTTATGAAGTGTTACACTGTCGGGTATTCACTGAAGACTTTTGATATTTGTGATTATATATCAAAAGGAATGTTACTTGAAAGTAAGAACATATACATATAAAGAAGTCACTGGGAGTCATATTGAACTTGAAGAAATTCGAGATATGACTGACAATAAACATATAGTTGACGTTAGCTCTCAACTTGAGGTTAGAAACAAAATCTTAGACTATGAGATTAATTCTAATACATGTTTCGTGTCCATACGATATCTTGTAGAATGAATGGATAGCTGAACACTTATCTTAGGACCAATGTCTAATCGGAGTTTGGATGTGTCTTTGGAAAACACTTTTTATTAGTTATTCAGAGTTGTACTTGAAATTGTAGTTAGCGGCTTATCCAAGCGGAAAACTGTTGGATTAAGTGTCTAAGGTCCTAACTAAATTGGTATAATGTTGATGAATAAAAGTAAAGTCCTTTTGGATTGCCCTCATAACCAGGAAATGACTTGGATTAATTAAAGAAGAGAGATAAATGGTTTGTTAATTTATTATGTGATTAATAAATTAATTAGGAATAGTTAATAATTGATATGAATTAATTAAATATAGTCAGAATTGATTAATTATTAATTAGAATTAATCTGGAATATTCGGGATTAATTGGAATTGATTAAATATGCAAGGGGTGAATTGTAATTGTTCAACAGTTGAACAAAAGAGTCAATTCTAGAACCATCCATGGCATGGACGGTTTTGATAACATTATAAGGCTTTCAAGAAGCCTTCTGGTTATTGATAAGGAAAAGATTTGAATTAGGATTAAATATATTATTTTAGTCATTCAAATATGGCTTTGTCTACAAGTTACCTAGACTATAAATAGGACCCTTGGGGTACCTAATTTCGTGGCTCTCTCTACCTAAATGGTGGAGAACGAAATTCTCATCTTCTCTCCCTTATCTCCTCTTAATCCTAGGGTTTCTTGAGTTTTAGGTGTGAAACTTTAGAGTCTCACATGCTTTTGGAGCTAGTTTTCCAAGGAGACAACAAAGGTTTTGATTAGCTTGATTGGAGTCAGCAAAAGGTATGTTTCCCTAACTACGATTTCGATTCATAAGATTTTAGTTTTGTATTTTTATATGTATGTTGTTATTAGATGTGAAAAAGACATAGATCCAATTTAGGTTGCATGTACCCTTAAGAGTTAATTGAAATTCCGCAAGTACATTGTTATTGTAACCTAGAAAACCCATCACAATACACAAACAATACATGCTCACATGAACCTTCAATCTGCCTGGACCGCCTCGCAAGGCCTACATGATTCCTGGACCACTCTGTCAAGCCTACAATCTAACTGGATTTCCTTGCAAGTCTTACATTTTAGTAGGAACTCTTCCTTGGACCTACAGTCTGACCGGACCACCTCGTAAGGCCTACAATACACCTAGACCGCCCAGGTATCTTGGTCTACAACACAAAGCAGCATCGCCTCAACCCAACCATAATATGTCGACATATGCAAACAAATAAACAATAACCAGCAAACCAGGTAATCATACAGATCTACCAATCTAACAAATTACTACAACATACCAACATCCTACACACAAGGATACATACTGCAGTACAAAGTATGAAAATGCACCTAAGCTAAACAACAGAGGCTCAACAGCAACACTCATCAACTAAAAAACTGACACGAGCTACCTAATACCAAACCGAAAGTAGTTCTTAACTCACACTCAATTCTGTCATAGTTTGACTAAAAGTTAAATTAGCCAAAAAGTCAACAGTCAAAGGTTAAAGTCAACAGCCAAAATTCAATACAGCTGATCACCACGTCGTGGCCATATACATGCCACGATATGGCAATCCCTCAACAAAATAGTCGTGAAGAATCCACTCGCCACGACGTGGTAACCTGCTTACCACGTCGTGGGAACTATCCGGAAACCACTTAATGGATTAATACCTTAATACATTAAGCCACACAATCACCTTTTCCATAATACTTCCAAACGTCTAATAGCTTCAAAAAACCCCTTGCTTTATGGTAATGCATCTCTAATGCATGTCTTGAACTTGGTTAGGTCAAAATGGTGAAAATAAGGTTAAAATCTCATGCACGGAAACAAAACACAACCAAACTTTAGATCTAGCACACCAAACCTCAAAGGGACCCCAAGGATCCATAAAGTTACCAACTTTATGGAATACATTCACTCAAACTACCCCAAACATGAAGAACAAATCATAAAAGCCTAGATCTAGAAACATGACACATAAAGGTTGTAATTTTAAGGACATACAATTGTAAGTCCCTGAACTCGGATCTATCAAAGTATCAATGAAATTGTTTGAATTAATGCGGAATCTTAATCAAACAATGATACGAAACAATCAATTCAATATATCAAGAACACGTTTCAATAATATGAATGCACACAATTCTATTGAACAATTGTCAAGTACATTCAAATCACTCTTCAGCCGTGAATCACTATGGTTTACCAAAAACGCATTAACTTAGAAAGGCTATACACAGACTATATATATACTAAACCGACAACCTAAATCCCAAACATAAAAGGCCCACCGAAAACACACTAAGCCCACTGAGAATCATATAATACATTCAAAATAAAGCATAAACTACTAAATATAGCCCAACAATCTCCCCCTTGGTTTATTGCTTTCTGTTCTCCTCAAGGTTTCTCCACGAGATGTACATCTGCTTGGTCAAAAGCCCCTGCCCACAACTTCTTGTCAATTATTGTAGCTACCATTCCAGTGAAGGCTTTAGTGGCAGCTTCAAACCGTTCATTCTCAACAATTATTTGAAAGTTTGACGAAGTGCGGATATCACGTTCTCCAAACTTCAACAGATCTTTGGGATCAACAATACGAAACTGGTTTTTCTTTATCTTGATCACCACTGTAGCAATAGCTTCATCATAAACCCAGAATTGCATTGAATCCAAAGTGCCTTCAGGTAAGCGTTTGGGAAGTGGAATTCTTTTAGCTTGCTTTGTGGGTGGCCACATGATATTCACCATGGTTTTGTTGGTGCGAGGATCAATGACACCCTTAGCCTTTTTAGTAAACGATGAAGCAGGCTTTAAGTCTTCAAAGTTATTTTTCGCTTTACTCTCAAGAAAATTCTTGAAGGACCAGGCCATGGCATCATTGGTTGGATTATAGAAAGGTGCGTGGATGAGCGCAGAAAGATCAACTTTTGCCCAGGACAAGAAGTCAACTTTCTTCTCATAATATTCAATTCTTCCACTTTTCCGCTTCACCACCCACATCCTTTTATCAACATCATATCCCGACATGGTGATGCCAGAACGATCTCCATATTTATCGGTAAACTTCTTTCCAATTTCCCTGAAAAACATTTCTGGGTGATCACCTGGAGCATTTTGATCTGAATGCTTCATCACTAGCATCTTCCCTTTTAGCTGTTTAACCCTTATTTGCTTCTCTCTTCTTTCTTGAGCAATAACAGGACCAGAAGATAAGAATGTATCAAGATTAGCATCTGGAGCAGGTCTTGTAGCTCTTTCACTTGAAGATTGAGAAGCTGGATCGGTGGGACCAGAACCAGAAGCAGTGATATTTTCTCCTTCAACGCTCAAAGGTTGAAATTCATCACCAAACTTTTGAAATAGGCTCTATTTCAGGTCAAAGAATAGAGCAGTTAGACCACCAATATTTTCTTGAAGTTCTGAGATATTTGAAGCTTTGCCGGAGTTCTATCTCTCAAGCTCACTGATACGAATGTACTGCTTTCCAATTATCAAATCTTTTTCCGCAGAGCTTTGTTCTAGATCAAAGACTCTGTTTTGAAGCAGAACCACATCAACCAATTTAGAATCAGGCAGCTTGCTTTTGCATTTGGAGATGTCTAGCCCGGGTGTTTCAAATGAGCTTCTTGAAGCTTGAGCGCCTTCCGAAGGTATGCCATTTTCTTCAACATTTCTTGAGTCAGTGGAGATGTCTCAGTGAATGGGATTTGAATGTTTTGAGCAATCGAACCGGGCTCAGTCGGTGTAGATTTCTTGTGAACTAGGTCTGCGATAAGCACTCCCGGCCTTGGATCTCTTCTCTTTCGCTTCCTTGGGAGTAAAGCGTTGGTTGAGTCTTCAAATCACTACCAGATGGGGGTTCAGTATCAACATGAACTGTTTGGGGAGGCTTCCTTGCAGTTCGCTGAAGTTCTGTAATAAGAGCATCCATCTGTTCAGGGGTAGGTGATGCAGATTGCACCATTATGTCACTTTCCCTTTCAGTGACGATCGGAGGAGTGACAGCAACATCCTCTTCTGGGATTAAGATACTTTGCTGAATAAAATTTTCAAACTAATTTTCTGACAACTCATTTCATTGATCATCTTGATCTTCTTCATCATCAGATACTTCAATCTCTTCAAATGCAAATTGAAATTTTGGTTTGGGCGCCACGTGTTCCTCGGCAACCTCAACATTTATGGAACTAGCAGCAGGAGTGTCTTCAACTTCAGCAAACTTTCCAAATTTAATCAACTCCTTCAATCCTTGATAAGCCACTTTGGCAGCCTTTCTTGATTGCTTCATGAGTCCAAAAGTGTTGGGACCCAAAGCTTTCATATCCAAAGTATCAGAAGACCTCTAAGTTTGGGGATATTTTTCATTTAGGATCATTTGAAAGAACTTGAGTTACATCAAAAATAGGTCCTTCTTCTTTCCCATGAGGTTGCTCTTCATCTCTTCAAAAACGAACTTTGAGAAATTGTAATCCCAGTCCATTGCCAGAGCAACAATGGCTAAGGTCACAGACCGACTAATTTCATCAGAACCTCCCTTTCTTCCAGAAATGCAAATCACAAATGAGTGTGCTAGGAACCTCCAGTAAGGTGAAAGTAACTTCTTAACAGTGGGAGGTAGGATCCTTCATAACACATCTTTTCCAGAACTTCCTTTACTTGATCAGCTGAGTACTCAATTGGGAAAACATATGCATCGCCAAATTCAAGTACTTCTCGGACAACTTGTTCAGAAATAATCACTTGTGTTCCTTTCACCATCGATTCAACAGTACCAGCTCCATCTGCTCCCTGCTTGTTGATCGAAACATTTTTCCAAAACTCAATAATCACGTCTCAGTGGATGAATGGATTAGCATGAAGGGCTTGAGAAATCCGACAGTTGTTCAAACCCACCATCATGGATTTGAATTCTTGATGAGCAGCAGGTGGATCCATAAAATATCCAGCAATGTTGCGAGAGTCTACGAATTTCAGTTGCTCTGCCATTTATCTGCATCAAATTAGCCAAGTGAGAATTAATTTAAAATTAATTAAATTGAGTTTGAAATCTGATTTCGGTTAAAGTCAAAGTTTTAGTCGATTTCGGTTAAAGTCAAAGATTTAGTAGATTTTAGTCAAAGACAAGGTTTCAGTCGTTTTCGGTTAAAGTCAAGATTTTAATCGATTTCGGTCAAAAAGATCGATTTCGGTCAAAGAACTTGTTGACCAGATGATTTCGGTCAATGCTGGTTGATTTCGGCCGAGAACCCAGTTTTCGGTCAAGCCTTCATCTGATTTCGGTCGGATCCAGGTTGAACCGAAAACCCGAAATCTCATTGGAACCTGTTCCAACTCAGTTCTTCGAAAAACCTTGAGAAATTTACTCAAAAACCTACAAATTTATGAAACCGAGTGAACCAAAAACAACTTTAAACAATATTGCCATGATCGAGAACCCAAACAATACCTGATTCACCAAAATTTTTTGCAACAAAACAACAGATGAGTAGGTTTTTGCAGAAAACTCGAAGAAGTTAGAGAGAAAAACAACGATGATGATGATGATGGCTATTTGGGGTTTTACAGTGAAAAACCCTAACCAGCCGAAAATAAAGTATATATATCACCAAAAAGTCTCAGACGGCCCACTTAATCGATTTCGGCCCATGAAAATTAACCTAATTTTAATAAGAAGGATTTCTTTCGATTTTACATTTGAAAACCAAATACAAAAAATTAAATTAAATTAAACACACATTTTTAATTATATATTTTTATTATTAATTTTTTTATTATTAGTTTTTTATTTTTTTGTTTTGTTTTTTGTTGTTTTTTTATTTTATTATTTCTCCCCCTAAATTTGTGCATAAAAATGAAAATATGTACAAATTTAAATAAAAACAAAATTGTAATCCAGAACAAAGACTTTTTGGGATCAAACGTTATGGAGCTAATTAATGAGGTTTATCAGCACACATGTTCATGAAAAGCTCTCGTCAATCATTGATATTGTGATCCACTTAAACACAAAGGACGTTTTTCAGGACAGATCACGAGTGACGATATATAACTATTATATTCCTAGATAGACCATTTTGTTTGAAGACGATCAAGGATATTGTTGTCCACTTAAATTTAGCAAGTAAAATCTACCAGTCAGCCTTTAGTTATGGGTGCAGTTAATGTTAGTGCATTGGAACATGTTCCTCACTTCATGGCATACCCCAGTAATAAAGGAAATTTCTTTGGAATCCTTTAATTTAGGTGAGTAGATAAGCATTGTGGAATGCATATGTTGTGTCCGAGGTCCGATCTACCGATCACGCAGAGGGGACAACATATGACTAAGATAGAGAGTAGGATATTTTACATTTGTAGGAGACAATATACTGACTTAAAAGCAGTGAACATCATCTGAGTGCATATGTTGTGTTCCAGGTCGGATCTTCCGATCACGCAGAGGGGACAACATATGGCTGACTGAGAAAGAAAGAATAACGATTTTAAATAGACCCAATTTATCAGAACCCCTTAGTCACCCCCTGTCAATACAAGAATTAAGAACATAAGTCCATACGTCAATGAAGTGTTGAGCCACAGATCTAGATGATAGTTAGGTTCAATTTATGTCAGAGGCCTCCTTGTCTATTTTACTGTTAAATCTATCCAAGCGTCGTATTGTCAGCCTAAATGAGGCCTTCTAAGTTCAAATGAATCCACATTGTCTAGTCCATTAGTCTTAGTCCTTTATGCCTACCAACACATTGAACACAGAGTTTAGACAAATCAGCTTTAGTGATTTACATGTATTTCGTTTGCCCTTTATCACTAACTCATATCACTTCCCAAAAGACTGTCACAAAAATTTCTTTTCTAAAAGCAAAAACAAAATGGAAGAAAATAAGAAATATTAAATAAAAATGAAAAGAAATTTCAGTCTTCGAAACGTGTCATCTTAAGAAATCCCACAGGCATGAGTTTGGTTTTAGAAAATTAGATTTTTGGATGATTGAAAATCAGCATTATTGTCACATAGAATAGAAGAGTCAAAAAATTCAAACCGTAATTCAGCAATTGAATAAATCCCTATTTGTGATCTTTCTTTTTCCTTTTCCCGTAAAGGACACATGCTCTCCATTTAAAATTCTGAATGTCATGCAGAAGAGAGATGCCCCCTGTCATGTGCCTGGAACAACCACTATCAACATATCGAAGTCTGATGATATTCCTCCGTAGCTGCTCCGGCACAGAGTGCGGGATTAATTGGTTTTGGGAACCCAGTCCATTTTGAAACTGGGTTAACCTTTTCCATCTACGTATGATACTCGTTCCCAAGTCATATCCTGTTTATCAAACACAGAAAATGAAGAGATGTTAGAATTTTTAGGTGATTTGGGAGTGGAAACTTTTGGTACCCATCTGTAGTCAGATTTAACCATTTTCTTGTTTAAACATATGGATGTTTCAATACTTGTTTTGGAGCTTGAGACAGATCGACGAGATGACTTTGACCTTACCGATCTTGGTTTGACCGAACTATCAAATCAGATCTCTTGTCAGACATGACCTTTTTTTTCTTGAGAGTCTGATTTTTGGTCTTGGCAGTATTCTAGTCACCGTCATGTGATATCGATGAGTTTCTCTTGAAAGATCTTCCTCGTGATACGTTCCTCTTACCTTGGGCATAATATGGGATATATGCACGATTTGGACAATTTCTGGCAATATGACTAGGAATTCCACAGTTAAAACATGTTTGTCTTTTAAGAGGAATACGCTCAGAACTTGGTCCCCGTGCAACTGAATTTCTACAAGTACAAGCACATTGTTTCACAACTTTATGTGGCCTAAGATTTTTAGCAGTGTTATCACAAGCCTTTGAAGAAACAAAAGATAAAGAGTTAGTTTTTGAAGAGTTTTCATTAACACTAGCATTATATTTGTTTTTCTCGCACCCGTCTTGCACTGTTACTTTATCTGCACATGAAGTAGAAACATTAGTATCGTTCACATTAATACTCTCAGTTGGGCCAGACTATTCAGTCTTGATTGAGGTAGTTACAGGAGGCTGACCATATTGTGCAGGTGTCTCTATCTCTTTGGTTTCAGGAGCTAGAGTATAGTTATCATTGAAGGGAGGTGGTACACTTTGATACCCTAGACCCTTATCCTGTTTGTCTTTCCACTTTAATTGTTTTTCTATCATTGACTCAACTATCTCGCTTGACACATCGAATTTCTAAAAGTTAAAATCAGCATCCTTAAATTTTTCCTTTAATGCATCAAGTTCAGCAGTTAAGTTTTCAATTTTCTCCTTGGCAAAACGATAGTGAACACCTTTGGTGCTATATTCTTCTTTAATCCTGCTTAAATCTTTAGTTTGTGCTTCTAGTTTTTCTTTAAGCGGTTTATTTACCTTTTTAGTTTCATATATTTCATTTTAAGGTCAAAAACCTCTCTAACTAATAATTCATTCTGTTCACGGTATTTATTTATTTTACCTTGACAGGACTGAGAGCATGAGGCTTCACTAACCTCCTTGGTACTATTGTAAGAACTCATTGTTTACCAACAAAAAAGAATCTGATTGTGTGAATTTATTTTGACCGAAAACCAAGATAAATGCCCTTTGACCAAAAACCTTGAAAGTCAACCAGTTTGACCGAAAACCCTAAAAGTCAACTGTTTGACCAAAAAATGTTGACCGAGAACTATATATCTTGACCGAGAACTCTTCCAAGACGAGAACCCTATACCTTGTTACCGAGAACTCTCTTCATCTGCCGAAAACGTTGAAACCTAGCCGAAATCAAAGTTTTGAACGTGTGTCCTTATCCAGTGAAATCCAGATTTTGGTAATTTGCCAAAAATGATTTCTAACGCAATAGCTTCCAAAATTAGTGAAGAACACGAAGAAAATGATGAACAGGAAGAACAGCACCACGATGAGCAGCAAAATTCCTTTTCCCAACACAACCCAAAAACACCACAAGTAAATTATTGTTTCGAAAGCAATTGATACCAAACCAGCCTTAAGTCTGTTGTAAGGCTCTGATACCACTTGTAAGTCCCTGAACTCGGATCTATCAAAGTATCAATGCAATTGTTTGAATTAATGCAGAATCTCAATCAAACAATGATACGAAATAATCAATTCAATATATCAAGAACACGTTTCAATAATATGAATGCACACAATTCTATTGAACAATTGTCAAGTACATTCAAATCACTCTTCAGCCGTGAATCACTATGGTTCACCAAAAACGCATTAACCTAGAAAGGCTATACACAGAAATATATATATAC